AATATTTTATGTCAAAGATTCTCCGAGTAAAAACTCGAGATAAGATATACACGGCAGCGTCTTGACAGTGACACTCATTCAGACAGTGACACTCATTTAGCGGATACTTTTATGTACTTGGCGTCGAGACGCTACCGCGTCTCTTGATAAGTCAACTAAACGAATTCAAAAGTGTTTTGAATATTGAAAGTTATTAGTGTTCTCTTTATATATATATATATATATTTTTGTTGTGTAAATTATGACAAGAATCTAGATTTTTCAGACATATAATCTCAAAATATTTAATTCATATTATACAAAATTCAATTAATTAATACATTATATTCATATGACATGAATTAAATACTTTAGAATTATGCATCTGTAACATATAGATTCTTTTCGTGATTTACAAATTAAAAATATAGAAAAATTATTAATACTAACAATATAGTTTATACATATATATATTTAATGTTTTTTAATAATCTACAAATAATCGAAAAACTTTAAAAGTATTGCAGTTATTTTTTAATAAGAATTAATAAAACTGTAATAATAAATACATCTTAAGATGTTTAACTCATCTGTATTAATAATATTATCTACTTTTTCCAAGATTATAAGTCATGGAAAAGCATTTTGCGTTGTCATATTGTCACACGCTACAAGCGCGCAACGAAACATTGTTTTCTAGCTTCAGTGTTTTGCTCGCGTAGCGGGCTTGGTGGAAGCGAGACAGAACACATAGTATGTCTGCGCTCTTCCACGAGCCAAACAGCCGAGTGTGACGTCACGCACACAGACGGCGGTTCTCGCTGTGTGCGTGCCCCTACCATCTCGGTGCTCTTGATGCTGGCCGGCCCGATCTAGCAACACTGGCTCATGCTTCAGGAATTTTGCACTCTGATATGATAAACTTATTTTTCTCGCCTCGGCGGGACTTATATTTTTTTTTATGAGATAAGATAACTAGGTGGCGACGTTGCGGCGCTTTGCTTCGGCTTAACTCTAAAGAGCGCGATAACTTTGGACTTCTCACCTCGGCAGAATACAAAGATTTCGGCTTTTTTTTTGTCAGTATTAGAACGGTGCCGGCGTGACCCTGAAAAGTGCCTGAATGTCGTGAGAATATTTTCTGCTTGGTATACTTAGTGCTAACGCTATACGTACAATGACTCCTTTATTACTGGATCGCACACGAGAGGTGCTGAACTTATATATATGGAACTTCCTATATTAGGCATATATATATACAGATATAATATTCATGCTAAACCGTGTATTTGAAAAGTGTATTTGAAAAGTGTCCGAAATCGCTTAGAATCCAAAAGAATTAAAAGTAACAAATATAAGTACAGTACGTATGTTAACATTCTACTGCACTTAGGAAATAGTGGTTTTCAACAATTGCGTGTATCTCGTGAACTAAAAGAGATATTCGGAAACTGTTTACGTAGGTACCTTCATTTTAAGTTTTTACTAATTATGAAAGATAGTGAAAGTAAACAATTAGAATATCTCAAAAACCGTAAAAGTTAGGAACAAATGGTTTTTTTATTCGTGCTTCTAACACGTAGTTGCAAAATACTGCAAACTTAAAAGGTAATAATTTTTATTATGTAAACAACGGATTGTTAAACAATAATTTTTGGAACTTCTAACCTGACTGGTATTTTGCAGTTTAAGATGCTGATTTTCATGGTGCAAACGGTTTTATTCTATCTCGTTGAATTACTAACTTACTAATTTTACAATTACGGTGATGCTAGGTGGTTCTAAAGATGGTATCTTACCGACTAAATCTTACTCTTTACGATGATGACTCTTGGTTACCGACAATATGTGCAAAACACCAATTTGTCGACGATGGTAATTTACCGACTTCGGCAGCCATTTTGTCTAAACAAAATGGTGGTACTGGTGATGAGCGGCGGTGCTCCAGGTTCATTATTTAGCTTTCACAGCGTTTATGACAGCCTTTGCTTAACAAAACCCATTTGAGCCAATCAGATCCTTCTAGAGAACTTCTGGACCAATCAAAAGGTATTTATTCAAAAAATCGAGTTTTGGGCGGTTCTTTAAACATAGGTCTCCTGCATAAGTCTGGACTAATAGGTACGGCGTGACTTCTGGTCTTTTTTCCTAGTTTTCTGTTTGACCAATCAAAATTGTTTGTTGGTATTTTGCTATCTTAAGAAGCAAATTTTGAAACGAGAACCACTCGAGGTTAATGCTGGCGGTCTAAGCCATCAAATTGACTAACAATATTTTTGACCAATCAGAACGCGAGTTACCAGAGACGTGGCCCATCAGAAATCTTGTCGAGGAAAAAGCGTCAAGAATGTAACAAATACCAATTATAGCATACTTACACTTAAAAAGAAAGTCACTAAGAATACCCTAGAGTTATTTAACAATACATTGACTTAGTACTAAAACAATGTTGTTGTAGTTTAACGTTGTTGCGGACGAGTGGGCGGGAAAAAATGTCAGGACGTGACATTATATAGATATTATTCCGTATAGAAATTATTATGTAGAATTATGTAAAATACTCTATTGTATATATACTTATATAATATAATAAGAATAAAAGAACCAATTAGCGATATAAATGAAATAGACGCTGTATTTACATTTGATTGAATAAATATGCGTTTAATACATATATACTCCTTGTCTTACTTATTTAATTTCCCTGTGTAAACTTAAAATTACGCTAAGAAATATCACATAAAAATAAATTTTCTTTTTAATTAATATCGAGCATACCTAAGTTTCAATAATATTGTGCATGTTCAAATGCGTGTTTCTTATGTTATTTGCTAGAATTTTACGTGATAAGAAAAATCATGCTTCTCTTAGTATATTTTTAATTAAATTTGGCTTAAATTTTTATTTTTATACCAATATAATAGTTACAATACTCTATACTACTGTGTCCAAAAAGTAAGGTGACATTGCATTTATTTCGAAAATTCTTTATTTATTCTTGCAAATCAATTTCGTCCCCTTCAAAGTAATCCCCCCCTGATATAATACACTTATTCCAACGGATTTTCCAATCTTCGAAACAGTTGTA